CATTATTTTTTCAACCTACAGATAGAAAAGCACAAGAACTTGTCTTCCTGATCAATTGGTTTTAAAAGAGTAGGGGAAATTGCGAGTGGGGATTGCAGCTCCAACAGAAAAGCAGGATGAATCGAAAAGAGCAAGATGAGTCCATGTGCTCCCTTGAGCAGCACACGAAGTTTCTCATCTTCCAAAAAGTCTTTTAAAAACTAGTGCTGACAAAGGAAGGCCATCACGCAAACAGAATAACCACACAAGCCACGCCAGTGAAAAGAAATCCCTCCTCACCTCAAAGATTGCACAAGCTACAGCTATGGCTTAATTAAACAGGTTTTGTAATGTCACATGGAACATAAACATGTGAATGCTACTGAAAAATTCCAGAAAATTCTGTCTCTGAGAAGGTCTACCTGAAATGTTGAGAGGGCTGACCTGCCATCAAGCGAAGGGACACACAGAAATGGCCCCATGATGACAGCAGGCTCCCCTGAGATTAAATCTGTCACCTGCCTAATTATGTACCTGTCCCCTTTAGTTATGAAGGCTCTTGGCGACAAGTGCCACGTGATTGCAGCCCCTTGGCCCTCCTCATGTGGCACCCAGCAGTAACACGGGCAGAAGCTGGCTCTTCCCCCTGCGAGGCTGGTATACACTAGGATCAGCCAGAGCAACAGGCTCATGACCACATTGTTTATCTCAAACACACAGGCAACTGCCCACGAAGGACCTAAGAAATAACGAGGCTAGCCAGGTGTGGTAGTGCACGCCTGTGCGGCTACTTGGAAGGCTGAGGCGGAAGGAACGCTGGAGCCCAACAGGTCGACGCTGGGGTGGCCGTGAGCATGCGTGCCACCGCACTCCAGCCTGGGCCAAGGAGTGGGACTCCAACTCAAAAAAAAGAAAAGAAAAGAAATAATGAGGCTGGTGAAATTCTACCTCATCACAGATATTTTTTAAATCCTGAAGTCACAAACTCAAAAAACATGTAGGCAAGCAAGACTAGGGTCTTTTTTTTTTTTTTTTAATGTTTATTTCATTTAATTCATTCACCCAACTTAAAAAAAAAATGTTTTGGGCATTAAATCTGTGAAGCATATAAAATTCAAACCAAGTGTTACGGGACATTATCACTGCTCAGGACGGAGCCCCAGCAGGCTCCCAGCATCTCTCCGCACACAGCTACCTCACTGATCTTGGTAAAAACCATGAATTGAATCATGTTATTCACCTACTGAAAACCTTTTGAGGCCAGGTGCAGTGGCTCATAACTACAATTCCAGCATTTAGGGAGGCCAAGGTGGGAGAGTTGCTTGAGGTCAGGAGTTGGAGACCAGCCTGTCTTTATAAAAAACATATTTTAAAAATAATTTTTAATAATAAAAAAAATTTAACCAGAAGAAAACCCTTTGAGCTCCCTGCTGCTTACAAGAGGAAAGCTGCTGGGTGGGTATGCCAAGGAAGGCCTCCATCAACTGGCTTCCGGCTGCCTCTCAGCCCTTCAGGTAAGAACACCCCCCCCCTCCTGGTATCTGTACACTGCCTCACCTGTCGACCCTTTGAGCCCAAGAAACTGGGGGGCTCGGGGAAACACAAGCCTTTTCTGCCTGTTTTCTAATGAATTCCTAACTTGTCTTTCAAAGGTCTTCCTCAGTGTCACTGCCTCTGTCTCTGGGCTACATCTGCTGCCTATGTTTACAGTCACCCACACTAGATGGACTTCATATGTGCCCACAGATTTACCTTCTCATGGGGAGCTACTCCTTGCAGGCAAGAACTATTCCTGAGGGCCCTGTACCTAGCACGGTGCTTAGCAACATCCCATGCTTCATACATATCTTTTTTTTTGAGTCAGGCTCTCACTTTGTTGCCCAGGCTGGAGCGCAGTGGCATGACCACAACCCCATGCCTGTAATCCCAGCACTTTGGGAGGCAGAGACTAGAGGATTGCCTGAGTCCAGGGGTTTCCGACCAGCCTGAACAACTTGGTGAGATCTGTCTCTACAATAAATAAAAAAATTAGCCGGGCATGGTGGCATGTGCCTGTAGTCCCAGTTACTTGGAAGGCTAGGGTGGAAGGATTACCTGAGCCCAGCAGACTAAAGCTGTGGTGGCCATGTTCATGCTACTGCACTCCAGTCTGGGCAGAGTGAGACTCCTACTCAAAAAAAAAAAAAAAAATTATTTTTTGCAGAGATAAGGTCTCGCTATGTTGCCCATGCTGGTCTCAAATTCCTGGGCTCAAGCAATCCTATTGCTTCGGCCTCCCAAGTTGCGGAGATTACAGACGTGAGCCACTGTACGAGGCCACTATCTTTGACTGAAATAATTATATTCAAGCATTACTCAACTTCAAATGATCCAGAATTCTGCCAGTCTATTTATTGTTTGGTGACAAAATATGATTCATTGTCTGACACCTAAAACCCATTTTACCAAATTGTTTTACCCATCAAATGACTCAAACCTAGAAGGAAGCTGACATCACCCTTTCCTAGATCAGCCAAGAAAGTAGCTTCAGGCTTGATGTTTATCAGTTAACGTTACAGATTTTATTCTTTAGTTCACTATACTTATTCATTAATCATAAAACTTCAAAGGCACTACATATATGGGTTACATATAGCAGGTACACATTTAAATAAACAGATTAGAATAATCTTTAAAAGATACTTCTAGGATGAAAACTTCAGCAATGACAAAAATCCCACACACACCAAATAATCTCTTCATGCTGCTATAAAGGCATCACAGAAGAAAACACAAGAAAATACAGGCTCCAGAGACAGAATTTTAAAATGCAAGTCAGAGTAAGTGGTTCCTTCCACCACTGACAGCCCTCCATCGGTTTCTTGAATCACTCAAAACTTAAAAATTAAAATTAGGCCGAGAGCTGTGGCTCACACCTACAATGAATGCCAGCAGTTTGGCAGGTTGAGGTAGGAGGATCGCTTGAGGCCAGGGGTTCAAGACCAGCCTGGACAACATGGCAAGACCCTGTCTCTATTTTTAAAAAATTAAAATCCAGAAGTCTGGCCTACAAGGCCCCATTCTCAGCACACTTCTCCTCAGTTGCTGCCTCCCAGATATATCATCCTCCTCACTCTCCCTTAAATACTAGTCACACTGACCTTCCCTTCATCCCTAGAACAGGCTGAGCTGTGCCTGCTGGTCCCATCTGCATGCTCTCCTCTAGCGCTCAGGACAATTGGCTCTCTTGGTATTAATATCTTAGGCTAAATATCAGCTCCTCGGCCAGGTTCCCCACCAGCAGGTGCTGTCTAGTGCTTCCCTTAAGCATGCTATCTCTTTCTATGGCTATCTAAAGTGACCCTGTCTGCTCATTTATCTGCTCAATTACCATCTGATGTCCCACACCAACCCCCAGGAAGGATGAAGCTGTTACTGATCAGTCCCCCTCCTCCCCTACTCCTTACTCTGCATTTGGCCCTAAGCCCCAGGCCATATGATGGAGGGAATTCTGCCTACCCAATCCAGGCACTCAGATCCAGAGATTCAAGTAACAGCATCTTCTAAGGAACAAAACAAAAACAAAACCATACATCTTAAAAATAAACATTTTCAAAATACCTAACTTTTTAAAAGTAGGCAGTTATAGTCTCTAAACTGATGAATACATCAACAAAATTTCAAGTCCCACACAGAAAACAAGAGAAAAACAAACCACTCCCAAATTTATCTTGTGTCTCAAGAGACTGCTGAAATACCCCAAGGAGGTTTTAAAGAGCAAGTCTTCTCTCAATAACATATTCAGGAGCAAATTTTTGCTTAACTTCTATAGTCCATAAGAGATCAAATGTACTAAGTAGATATTTTGTCACTTAACAACTAAAGCAGCAGATAATTCCACACATATACACCAAACTGTCAAGGCACACACTGTAAATCAGCTTGGAAAATGAGACAGGATTTACCATTCCGAAAGGAAGAGTCCCTCCCTGCGACTGAACTTCTAACACACACATTCCAGAGAACCAACTGCACCACACACAATAAGGAGAACCCCTGGAACTGGGCCAGTGTGCCAGGCTCAGCTTCAGCCAGAACAAACGCTCAGCATTTAAACCCGCTAACCAGCAGCAGAAGGTAACAGGAAAAGGCTTGAACGTAAGGAATGGAAGGAAAAGCAATGTCTGTGTATTGATAAGAACCCTGAGGAACAATGGGAGAATAAGGAAACTGGCAAGATGCAACTTCTTTCTCTAAAGAATATTATGAAACATTTATTCTTTCGATGAGTACACAGAGACCCATCAATACATTTTTCAATTATTGAATAAACAAAAACAAAAAACCAACCTGTGGGGCTCCCTCCCTCTCCACTGAAGCTCACACCATCCTGGGAGAGCATGTTCAAAACAAAATTCAAGGATCCTCCATCCTCCTGTCAACACACAACTTTGGGTTGTAGCAACCACCGTCAATTATATTTTAAACCTACTTAGGCTGCTGTGGACAGTCATACAAAGAAAGAAACTTCCTACAAGTTTTTTTTTTGGCTCCTAGCAAACACATGCATGAAACATGAAGCAGATATTCAACCTAATTTGCATATTATGCAAAGCAGACAACAACAAAACAGAAGAATAAATTGTCCACATGAATGTTTGTAAGGAACGTCTGCATTTCTTTTCTGTCCATCTTGACTTACATCTCCCTCCCTTTGGCTGTTCAATTACACACACCACGCTGGATTCCACAGGAAGAAAGTTTCATGTCACCACACCAGCAGCAGCTTCATTCCACAGACATTTCAAGTAGGAAGAACAGGGAGTTATTATAGGAGAAGGCTGGAAGCATGGACTGACTGGTATTTTATATGGCAACAAGCAACAATCACATTTCTAAATGTTCTCATTTTCATCCTAACCCCAGCTCACCTCCTCCTACCCACTGTAACTGGCATCTCCTTAGGCTAAACAGTAAGTCATTGTTTTTCTGAAGAAGTCTCCCTTCATCTGACCTCTGCTAAGTGGTGCTGGGAGCCTTACAAAGCTCATCAGGATCCTCTGGGCTGTATGTGGCCCAGTCATCCACACTTATGTGCAGAAATGTATCATCTTTGTGCTGGCACTTACCACTGGGCAGTTTATGTGCATCAAAGGGCACTGGTCCCCCACCTTCATCAATTCTAAAAAAATTACAATCTGAGAGTTTAATTCATTAAAAAAAGGTACACATGAGAACTTTTAGAGACTGTGTCCTTGAGAATGCTGTAAGTTTCATTTTTACTCTCCGAAAAGCAGAGGCTAATAATATCCACTGTAAGCCAACAACAGGCAAGCAATTAAACTTATCAAATATACTGTGATCATTTGTATTTTACAAGACCTCTGATGATAAAATAATTTCTTCCAACAAAATTATATTTTAGATATGATTTACATCAATCAAAGTTATTGAAGAACACCAATGCACTTATCTATGGTTTTGTGTACTCTAACTCAAAGTGTTAAGTCTCAGAATGAGAACAGAAAAGCGACTTCTTTCCAGTAAATACTGACTTCCTCTTATGTGCTAAACCTGAGGATGAAAGGGTAAGGTTTCCACATGTAGAGAGACGCACAAAGGAAGAAGCACAAAACCCAAACATGCTAAGAGGGACTGTGAGGGTTGGTGACAAGAGCTGAGGATGAAGGAGAAAAGCAAGAGCTCTCTGCAGAGAAGCCTGGGGAGATGTAATTAGGAGCAGGGGCCTCAGGGCAGAGTCCTGAAGGAGGAGCAGAAGCTTTACAAGAGGGGAAGAGGCCTCTAAGCCCCTACCCAGAGGAAGCATGTAAGCTGCGGGGAGTGATCACTCTCCATGGGTATGGGTACCCCTCTTACTCAACATAATTGTCTCACAGGTCAGGTCCAGAGCAGCCCTGATTCTCTGTGGGGATGACAGCTTCCTGCAGCTACCTAAAGCCCTGGGCTGCCCCAATTCTCTTTCAGAAGTGGCAAACCCCCAACTCTGGCCTGTGGGGCTTTCCTCGGCCTGAAACAGGGAACCCAAACTACTGTACACATGGAAAACTGTCAGATTTAGGGAATGAATGAAGGTAACATGGGTGTGGTTGTTTAGAATTCGAGTGAGTGAGTGAGTGACTGAGGCCTCAGATGATCATGCAAACAAAACTGACCATTCCTAGGCCCCTCTTGCTGCCCCAAAAGAGCTCCCTGCAGGGAGTGTGAGTCACTCAGCACCAGGTCTCCACAGGGCACCACTCCTTATGCAGAGGCTTGCTATGAAAAGTCTGCCCTGACCTCGTAATTCAAATGATTCCACACTTTTCAAGAACCTCCAGGCATCTCTGTTTGCTGAGCCAGCATGCACAATTCCACATATGGGGTGGGGGGGGTTCAATAGTAAATTTTAAATGAGCGTTTATAGTTGCACACTGCTACCCTCCAACTGTTCCTTAATTTCCTGACATGCTTAGACCAGACATTTCAAGACTTGTAAGTAAGTAAAATTAGTTCAAGGTTCAAGAAGAGTGAGACTACCAGTGACAAAGGGTGGAACTTTTTTTTAAGCATTTGTATTTGGGCCAGATGCGGTGGCTCACACCTGTAATCACACCACTTTGAAAGGTGTCAAGGCGGGTGGATTACCTGAGCCCAGAAGTTCAAGACCAGCCTAGGCAACATGACAAGACCTCATCTCAAAACAAAAACATTTGTTTTTAGCAATGATCAATGTTTAATTTTTGACTTTAAGGTGTACATTAAACAAAGTTAGCAAGAAATTAAAAGATGGACCAGCCCAGGGACTGGCCGAGAGCCAGTCTGGTCCAGCTGCCTGTTTTTATAAATAAAGCTTTTCTGGACCCCAGCGCTGCCCATCTGTTTACACACGTTTACAGCCCTCTGGCCCCACACAGCAGGGCTAAGTAGATGCAACACACAATGCACGCAGCAAAGCCCAAAATATCTCCCCATCTGGTCTTTTATGGAAAACGTTGTTGACCCATGGATGAGCCCCTAAATTAAGAAAGAAAAATAAGGGGTAACTTTTTCAAAGTTCATTTTGAGCCCTAAATTAGTAGTGACTGCTTCTGAAGTGCTTTCTTCTGGAACATTCACTCTTTCAGTAATCCCTATTTCTCCTTAGCTGCTTCCCTGACTTGAGGGGAAAGATGAAAATCCCCATTTTCACCTCTCATTATCTCATTTAAATGTCCTGCTCTCTTCTCCCAAAAGATAAGTATAATGTGAGGTAGGGTGGAGAGAGTCCAGCGGGTGGCCTCTCTTCGCAGTGGCTGGGGTCTGCCGTTACTCAGACCCTTCCCCATCTCCAAGCCTCTACTATGAGTAGCCTCCAAAGGTGTTCTGAGGAGTATGTCAGTGGAAGTACGGGAAACACACGAGGTATGAAACCATTCCACTCATGGTTCTAACTACACCTTAAATTGAATAACAGACTTTACGCTAAAATTTTGCAAAGGTCAGGCGTGGTGGCTTATACCTGTAAACCCACCACTTTGGGAAGCTGAGGAAGGAGGACTGCTTGAGTGCAAGAGTTCAGACTAGCCTGGGCAAAAAAGTGAGACCCTTTTTCTACAAAAAGTAGAAAAATTAGTCAGGTATGGTGGGTTCCTGCTTGTAGTCCCAGCTACTCAGGAGGCTAAGGCAGGAGGATTGCTTGAGCCCAGGAGGTCGAGGCTGCAGTGAGCCATGACCGTGCCACTGTATCCAGCCTGGGTAACTGTACTACAGCCTGAGTAACAGTGAAACCCTGTCTCCAAAACAAACAAACAAACAAACTATAATTTTAGGATGAGGCCCAGATCGGTGGCTCAGCCTGTAATCCCGCACTTTGGGAGGCCGAGGTGAATGAACTGCCTGAGTCCGTGGGTTTGAGACTCGCCTGGACAACTTGGTGAGACCTCATCTCTACAATAAACCAAAAAAATTAGCCGGGTGTGGTAGCGTGTGCCTGTAGTTCCAGGTACTGGAAGGCTGAGGTGGAAGGATCACTGGAGTCCAGTGAGTCGAGGCTGCGGTGGCCACTGCACTCCAGTCTGAGCGACAGAGTGAGACTCCAACTCAAAAACAAAACAAAAAATTGTAGGATGATACTAATGGAAGGGACAGGATGGAAGGGAGCCAGCAGAGCAAAAGAAAATATTAGAAGGCGCACTGGGACTGAAAGCTCCCGAGGCCACCTAACTGCCCCGAGCTATGGACTCCAGCAAGTGGGCGTGGTTTTTGGAAAATATGAAGAGTTACGCCAGTGGCTGCTATTAAAGGTCAGAACTCACTGTTCCTCAGTGTCCTGAGTCTTTAAAAGCCTAGTGGAAGGCTGCCCTGCTGAACCTGAATACCTTGATTTAAATAAAAGGACATCTTTCAGGTTAAAAAAAAAAAGAAGGAAACAAGTTAACAGCCACCATCACCTCAAACCTCCATCTTCAAATGGAGGTAGTGTCCACGTCCACATTCTTATCCCTGCTCCTTCCAGCCAAAACCTCTCTCTGCCACCTGCCCTCAGAGGACCCTGCTTCCTTTACCATGCCAGCCTGCTCACAAACTCTCAAATATTCCCTTACCATGGCAGCCTCCTCACAAACTGTCAACTATTCCCTTACAATCAAGTGGGGGGGGGAGAAACAGCTAGAATATTCATAACAGACATTACCAAAAGCTGGAGGATAACAGAAGAGAAAGAAACCACAATCAGTTAATTATTTGACTAACGAATTACAACAACGAGCCCAACTTCAGCCCAGGGTCCCTGGCTATCTACAAATATGCACTAGGTTACCTGGGAGGACATTCAGTTATCCCCAGATTTCTCCCATCCTGGCCCCAAAAGAAAGCTCTTAGGTCCCTGACCAAGAAATAAAAGATCCCACCTGTGTAAAATGAGGGACATGAAGGCCACTTCCTCCAGGGGGACCCTGCCTGCCTTCCCACAATTTCACCAGCAGAAAACTGGAAGAACATGATCCAATGAGCTTGGCAATTTTCTAATAAATGCACCTTGAAATAGCAGGAGGTGATTCAGTAGCATTGCCACATGCATTTGACTGTTATCCAGAAATGGGGTGGTTTTAAAGAACAGATAGGGGTCTCTACTCCCCACAAGGCATCTTCACTGGGAGAAGGGCTAGTTCCAAAAAAAATGCATCTTTAATCCTCAGCAAGATACAACCTAGGTAAAAAAACAAATGTACCCTGAATCAAGGATTTTGGTCTGAGGGAGGCCTCAAGAAATCACTTAAATCATTTCTACAAAATGAGATGCTATCAAGCACATACAACTCATCTCATAGGTTTTATAAAATAGAAATGACACCTTGAGGAGGAAAAGTAAAACACGTCTGTATGTTTACTCATCTGCTAATCATCTTTCCACACAAACAGCAAGAAGTAGCCCTAAGAATAGTTCCAACTCTTTTATTTTATTTGTTTAGAGATGGAGTCTTGTGATGTTGCTCGGGCTGATCTCGAACTCCTGGGCTCAGCTCAAGTGATCCTCCTGACTCAGCCTCCCAAAGTGCTGGGATTACAGGCCTGAGCTACCACACACAGCTAGTTCCAAATCTTAATAGGGGTTTGAGTTACAAGGATGTCAAAACGGAGCAGTACCTTAAGTTTATGTCTTTCATAGTATATTTCACAGCAAGAAAAAAAGACTATAATAACTACTGTTAATGATATACAAGCTATTTAGGGGAAAGTACACTAATATCTGCCACTTACATAAGAAGGATAAAAATAGATGAATGGGTGGATGCAGCAATGAAGAGATGAATACATATATGGTGATGCAAGTAAAATAAAACGTTAACACAGGTTGAGTATCCCTTATCCAATATATATGGGACAGGGCCGGGCATGGTGGCTCAAGCCTGAAATCCTAGCACAATCCCAGGTGGAGGCGAGATGATTGCCCAAGTCCAGGGGTTCAAGACCAGCCTGGGCAACTTGGCAAGACCTCGTCTCTACAATAAATCAGAAAAATTAGCCAGGTGTGGTGATACACACCTGTGGTTCCAGCTGCCTGGACGGCTGAAGTGGAAGGATCACCTGGGACCAGCAGGTCAAGCCTGTGGTGGCCGTGAGCATGCCACTGCACTCCAGACTAGGCAACAGAGTGAGACTCCAACTCAAAAAAAAGGTGGTCCTGAACTTGGAGACACAGAATTTCATCAGCTGCTGGCAGCCCTGAAATAGCAGAGGCATTCATGTTGCTTGTGGACCAGTGCATACATACTAAGCAAGGCTGCAGCCTTTACCTAACACCTTCAGAATCTTGCTCCAGCTTCTGCTTTTTGCTCTACCAGGAAACTACCAGAGCCCAGCAAAGACGCACGCACACATTAGTCGGCGACAGTTCAGATGTCCTCTGGAAAACTTTTAGGGTCACATCCTCAGCAGCCACTGAGAAAGACAAACTCCCTTCCTGTTCCCTCCCCCAACATTCCTTCTTTTAAAAATCATTCCAGTTCTTTTGGTGGCTCAGCCTGTAATCCCGCGCCTTGGGAGGCTGAGATGAGTGGATTGCCTGAGCCCGCGGGTTCGAGACCTGCCTGGGCAACTTGGCGAGACCTCATCTGTACAATAAATCAAAAATCAGCCAAGCATGATAGCGTGTGCCTGTAATTCCAGCTACTTGGAAGGCTGAGGCGGAAGGATCGCTGGAGTCCGGCAGGTCGACGCTGCAGTGGCCGGGAGTGGCCAGTGCACTCCAGTCTGGGAGACAGAGTGAGACTCCAATTAAAAAAAATCACTCCATTTACTATTTGAGAATTAGTTTTGAATTTTCAGAAAAGTAATCTTTTTGGGTTCTTGTCCTGTTTCTTCACGTACTGACTTAGCACTTGTAAAGCAACCACCAGAATCACATTTTCTTCTTCCTATTTCAGTGTTCATCCTGTGAGTCCTTTTCCAGAAAATTACCAGGCCACAAAGCTTTGAGCTTCAAGGAGGACTCCACCCATAGCTCTATGTTACCGAGTCTGAGTTACATCTGATATCTCAAATACAAAAGACCCAGATTTTAGAAAAGCATTTTGCACAAGTAAATCTATAACATAATAGGCGGTGACCCTAGATGCACCAATCACCCTTCCTGCATGAGTTCTCCCATGAGCTAGTTCAAAATGCTGCTGCCATCAATCTCTCCCCCACAGATACGCTGAGGCACCATGGCACTCAGAATTTCTCCTTTTTAATTTTTTTTTTTAATTTTGTAGAGATGAAGTCTCGCTATGTTGCCCAGGCCGGTCTTGAACCAAGCACTCCTCCCACCTCAGCCTCTCAAAGTGCTGGGATGACAAGCATGAGCCACTGTGCCCAGTCTTTTCCCTGGCTTTGTTAGGCTCACCTCAATTCCCTGCCAACAAGCCCTCCTCGCCTCCACCTTCACCACTTCCTACACCAGGGCAACTGGACAGCCAGCAAGGTCCCCAGATGCCTCCTGGCCTCCCACCATGGCTTTGCCGAAATTAAGGAAGGCAGAGAGGAGGGAGAGCAATGTGCCACGGGGTGGAGGCTCTGGCTACCAGCACAGTAAGCTGGTTAAGAGCATGGTCTCAGGAGTCAGTGAGGGGGTCAAACCTGGGCCCTGCCACTTTCTAGCAGTGATCCTTTAGGCAAATCATGTAGCCATTACACAGAAGGTGAGGGAGGGATGGTGAAGGCCATAAAAGGAGAGTGGGGATGGTAACGGTTGCAACCACCATCACGTTTCATGTGAGGACAAGGCGGGCTGATGACTGTACAACAGAGAGCACAAGGATCAGAGAGGAGGAGAAATGCTGCCCCCTGCCCCCTGCCCACCTCCCCCCACGCATGCTCACATGGTGCGAGGGAGCACCTTTTGCTTCATCCCTTTCACTCAGCTTGTTCAAGCCCCTGCCCACCCCACATGGCTTCTGCTTATATAAGTCCCCTCCTCCCCACCACACTCAGAAGAGTTTCTTCCATTTCCTTGGCTTGGATGAGGCTGACCACTTCTCCCTTTTGACAGAGTTGTAAACCCACACAGCGCCCAGCAGTGTCATGCAGGTATTGTGTTCCCAGCAAATATAGGCGGAGGAACAGATGCCTGGGGCCAGCATGAGTTAGGGTCTGATTAAAATGTCCAGATAGTCCCTGAAGTACAAATATGCCAGCCCATATTTAGGCACTAGGGAAAAGCCCTAGAGCAAGGGTCATCAGCTATCAACACTCAGGGCAGGTCATCCTCAGTGGTGGGGCTGCCCTGTGCAGGGAAGGGTATTGGCAGCATCCTCAGCTTCTGTCTTAAGACAGAACTGCAGCCCTGTGGAGGGCCTTCCCAGATGCGACAGCCAAGGATGTGTCCAGACATTGCCAAATATCCCGGAGGAAGTTGAAGGAGAGGGGTAAAATGTCCTCCCCTGTTGAGCTACTGCTATGGAAAATAAAAATATGCCCAGTCAGGGTCTGTGGTTCAGCCTGTAATCCCAACACTTTGGGAGGCCGAGGCGAGAGGATTGCCTGAGGCGGCGGGTTCGAGACCAACCCGGAAAAATTGATGAGATCTCATCTCTACAATAAATCAAAAATGAGCTGGGCATGGTAGAGTGCGCCTGTAGTTCGGCTACTTGGAAGGCTGAGGCAGAAGGATCGCCGGAGCCCAGCAGGTCAATGCTGGGGTGGCTGTGAGCGTGCCACTACACTCCAGCCTGGGCGACGGAGTGACACTCCAACTCAAAAAATAATAATAATAATGTGGCCAAGTGGGGTCTCCCATCCCTCTCGGGGTCCTGTGTGGTGGGCAGCTTCTCCCTGGCCCTGGTGGTCCTCCTCCCAGTTGTGCTATTTGATCAGCTGCTGCTGCCGGCTCCAAGGGCGGGTCCTGTGACTTGTCACCCACCGACTCATTCCTCTTGCCCACAGCAATTCCAATTCCCTGCAAACTCCCACAGGTACCGGGCTTTGCAGAAGGCAGCCTAGAAGGAAGAAAACACCTAAGCTCATCAGAGAAGGAACTCAAGTCAAATAAGATGTCACCTGTCATGAAACAAAGATGAACAGTGAAGGTAATTTCACATCCTGTGTTGTCCCAGCCCCAGCAAGCACCCAAGTGGTTTTTCATGCGCCTCCCCTCCTGGATCTTTCTTGACAAACCAGGTCCCCAACCTCACTTAAGAGGAGCAGCAGGAAACAGGGAAGGTGTCAGAAGGAGTGGAAAGAAGCTCTCGTGTAAGCATCGGAGCCCCCGGCCTGCCTGCCATGAGAATAAACCTGAATTGTCCCCTTAGAAGGGGAGAGAGCCATCAGAACGTGGCCATGCATCAGGTCATGGAGCAGAAATGAGCTGTCCTCACCTACCCCCAGCAACATTGGCAGTGCCCTGGCACTCCCTTCCACTTGCGCTCATCCTGGAGCTGACCTGTAGAAACAGAATCTTCTAGGCCAGTAACTGCAGCCCTGTGGAGGGCTTTCCCAGATGCAGAGATGACACGTTGATGTTAACCTCAGTCCCAGTGAGACCAGATCTCAGGGCAGAGGGGGGCCCCTGACTCCAGGCCCGAGTCCCCGTCCTCTGTGATGGGCCACATGTGGTAGGACAGTCTCATCTGCCTCACTGATGGAGGCTCCAGGGCCCAGGTTGCAGCAGGCAGTAGGGTTAGGCCAAGAGGTGATGCCTTCGGGGCACCTTTGGGCTCTCTGTTTAATGCCCTTTAACGTATAAATGAACAGGCCCATTTAAATTTAATGACAAAAATCACAATGAAATGAATTCGCACCACCAAATATATATATATATTCCCTAAGCTATTATGTTACTTTTTTTGTTTGAGTCAGAGTCTCACTCAGTCGCCCAAGTTGGAGTGCGGTGGCATGATCACGGCTCACCAAAGCCTTGACCTCCAGGGCTCAGGAGGATCCTCCCACTTCAACCTCCCAAGTATCTGGGACTACAGGCATGCACCACCACACCTAGCTAATTTTTTTATTTTTCTGTAGAGACGAGGTCTTGCTATGCTGCCCAGGTTGGTCTTGAACTCCTGGACTCAAGCAATCCTCCCGCCTTGGCCTCTCAAAGTGCTGGGATTACAGGCAGAAGTCACCGCCTCCGGCCCACTGTGCTACTTTTCTACTGGGACAGCAGCCAGCACAATAGTGTAGGATGGAAAGAACAGATGTGGGGCACCTTTCCCAACAGCCACATGTGTGACAAGACCTCTACAATCCTGTCACTACTAGGTACAGCCAACAGGGCACATCACAGACTCTCTCAGCCTCAACTTCCTCTTCTCCGAAACAGAGAGGATAATCACACTCAAGGTTTGTACTGTTGTAGGAATTCAATTAGTTAATGCAAGTGGAGTACTGAGCCCAGTGTCCAGCATACAATAAGTGTTCAATAACTGAGTTATTATCAGGCCAGCCGTGGTGGCTCACATCTGTAATCCCAGCACTTTGGGAGGCCCAAGTGAGAGGACTGTCTGAATCCAAGAGTACAATACCAGACTGGGCAACATGGCGAGATCCTGTCTCTACAATAAATCAAAAAATAAGCCAGGTAGGATGGCACATGCCTGCGGTTCTAGCTACTTGGGAGGCTGAGGTGGAAGGATCATCTGAGCTCAGCAGGTCAAGGTGCACTCTAGCCTGGGCAACAGAGTAAGACTCTGACTCATAAATAAACAAACAAATAAAACTGAATTATTAATTAATATACATGGCTGGAGACCAAGCACAAACTTTGGTCTCCCTTCTTCCATCCTTTCTATACTCCCTCCATCCCATCCACTTCTTCCCTAAACAGACAGGCAACACAAACCAAACACAGTCCAACGGCCTCCAGAACACAACACAAACCAAACACAGTCCAATGTCCCCCAAGGCTGGCAGCCCAGGAAGCAGGACCACAGATCTGCAGAGAAAAGGAGACTCCAAGGATGCCATGAAATGTGGTGTCTTGCTTCAGAGGCAAACATATGACGGCACTTTATGCTGAAGAGGAGGAGGTGCAAAAAGGATATCATACCTTCTGTACAAAAAGATTCCACCCACAGAGCTCTCCCCTCCCAAGTATTGCAGGAGTTCCCCAAGTCACAAAAATCCCACCTACAATGCATCCTCTCTCTCCAAATGCCCCACGCAGCATCCAGCAGTGGGGAAGAGGTGCTTCCCAGTGACCAATGTTGGGCAACACCTGAGAGGAATCTCACACATGCCATGGATCCCCACTCGCATTCCCATTTCCACTTGGACAGTCCTAGCTCGGTCCAGAGAAAGACAGACACTCCACCCATCCTCCATTTTCTCTTGTCCTTTCTTGGCTCCGCTAGTAAACCGAGGAGCCCTGGCTACGTGAGCCAGTATAAGAAACATTGAGCCAGTATAAGAAACATGAAGAAGACTTTTACATTTAAGTCTAGAGTAGATTAGAAACTGCGCATTGGCCACCACGTGCTAGCTGGGTGACCTTGATCAAGTCTATTCATCCCCATCAGCCTCAGTTTCTTTATCCGTACTATGGAAACAATAATCTTTGCCTCACAGATTAAATGATGCCAAATATGCAAAGTTCCTGGCTCAGAGCTCAGAACCTAACAGAATGGTCAGTAAAATAACTGTTAAATGAAAGACTTTATTTATTTGTCTATTTATTTATTTGAATCAGGGTCTTACTCTGTCATCCAGGCTGGAGTGCAGTGCCACAATCATACTCATCGCAGCCTCAACCTCCTGGGGTCAAGATATTCTTCTACCTCAGCCTCCTGAGTAGCTGGGAGTACAGGCATGCACCACCACGCCTATCTTATTTTTTTGCTTTTTGTAGAAACAAGGTATCACTACATTGCCCAGGCTTGTCTCCAAATTTTGGGCTTAAGCGATCCTCCCACCTCAGTCTCCAAAGGGCTGGGATTACAGGTGTGAGCCACTGCGCTCGGTCAAAAACCTGCTATTGTCATTGATCAAAATTACACATAAAACCTCTGTCCTTCCAAATGCCCATGATCACCAATGGAAACACCCTCTCCACCCACATCTTCTCCAATTCATCCTAAAGAGCCATTTTACCATCTTCCTCCCTTCACCAAAAACAAAACAGAATAATGGAAGTATGAGATGAACCATCTTGTTTAACCATGAGTTTTTATGTTTTGTTTCATCAGTTGCACCATTTTCTATTAATGTTCCAAATGTCTGATATTTTGGCACAAGAAAGCTCCAGCGAAGGCCTAACCCTCATCACATGATTTTCACTGCTGCTTCTGCAAAATGTGCCCTAAACACATTTTTGGAAGAAAAACAATTAGTAAACTGGAAACCATCAATACTTTATTTTCCTTTTAAACTTCCAACACCTATTGAAATAACCACCTGCTTTAATTAGTTCAGCTAGAGTAATATAGTGAAAAATCATTTTTGAATTAAAACAGAAAATGTCCCCTCAAATAAATAACTTCAGTAGTCCTTTTTGTCTTTCAGCTTAGGCACAATTGTTGAAGGAAGTCTATAAAAATGTAAGTATCTGACTTTTCCCGATAAGATAATTCAAACAAACATAAATTTGTTAAAACTTACAAAGTTAGACAATTGCCACATTTATTTCCTTGTCAATTTTTAAATGAGACTGATAGCAAATAAATAAATACATAAAAATAAACATAATTTTTCACCAGCTAATTTTAAACTAATTTTTTTTTTTTGAGTAGGAGTCTCACTGTGTTACCCAGAGTGGAGTGGAGTAGCATGCTCACGGCCACCACAGCCTCGAACTGCTAGGTTCAGGTGATCCTTCTGCCTCAGCCTTCCAAGTAGCTGAACTACAGACATGCCACCATGCCTGGCTAATTTTTTGACTTATTGTAGAGACGAGTACTCACCATGTTGCCCAGACTGGTCTCGAACCTGTGGGCTCAGGCAATCTTCACACCTTCACCTCCCAAAGTGCTGCGATTATAGGCATGCCACTGCGCCCAACTTTAAACTAAAGTACAATTAAAAATAATTTCACCCTGCACATGTGATTCTAACTTGCAACCTATCGAGGCAATGTTTGGGTTATGTGCTAACAGGCATGTAACATACATTTATGTGTGTCAGGAGAAAGGAAAAAACCCTAGAGAGGGTGTCTTCATTTATTATGATTTTTTGAGCTAGACTAGTTCTTCTTCAACTATGACAGTCTTACAACAGATGTGAATTAGTGGGTCATGCACTTTGGGAGACCAAGGTGAGAGGATTGCCTAAGCCCAGGAGTTTGAGACTAGCCTGGGTAACATCTCTACAATAAATTAAAAATTAGCCAGGTATGGTGGCACACACCTGTAGTCCCGGCTACATGGAAGGCTGAGGTAGCTGTGATTATGCCACTGCACTCCAGACCGGGAAACAGAGTGAGACCCCAACTCAAAAAAAAAAAAAAGACAACACAATGATAACTCCAACTCATAAAAAAGAATTTAAGAAGTTCTAAGTAAGGCCTGCATGTAATTTCTTTCCATCACCAGCATCATGAACAGGCTGTAACATCTAACGCTAAGTGCCAGCATGTTAATATCTCTGTAACTGCCTGGTTCCCAGCCCAATGTATATAGTAACACCCTGCTGTAATCAATATTAACTGGGCTATTCTTGCCATTTCAAAGTATATTTCTAGCATGGTATTTCTAAGCATAAATGATTTGAAAGACTTATCTGTTACCCTTCAAATTTAAGGCAAAAATGACAATCCCCCAAATCACAATAGTCTAAACCTTTAATCATCCCACCCCCTTTTCCATATCTGTTGACTACATCACTTGTCAAACATACACAAAGAAGGAGTCAATTGTGTGAAAACATGTAACTTGTAAAGCAAAAGCAGAAGGGGAGCTTTTTCTTTTCTTTTTTTTTTTTTGAGTTGGAGTCTCACTCTGTTGCCCAGACTGGAGTGCAGTGGCCACTCCCGGCCACCGCAGCCTCGACCTGCTGGGGCTCCGGCGATCCTTCCGCCTCAGCCTTCCAAGTAGCTGGAACTAAAGGCGCACGCTAGGAGCTTTTTCTTTTAATAGTTTGTGGACAAATTGTTGATATTAAGGAAGACATTTCTCTTTCATTTTAATTAGAGTTAACTTCACAATTGCTTTTGCTTTTATTGAACTACAAAAAAATATTTTAAAGAGGCTACATTATAACTAGTATTGCCAAGGCAGAATGATCAAACAAGGAGGTCTACTGGGAAGTGAGATCCTATGCCCAGCAACAATGTGATTGTGAGATGCTGTTTCTGAGGGAAGCTGGGTGTGCGTCTCCCATAGAAACAGGAGAACGGGCTCAGAGCTACATTCACAATACAGTCATTCCTGACAAGGGCAAAAGGACATCTGTACTTCTTTCTGGAGAAACTGAGGCAAACAGGATTCCTCAAATGTCGCC